GCCCCCCGCCTCGCCGACGCCTGCCACCGGGGCAAAGCCCGCAGCGGTCGGCCCGAAGACGGCCGGCCCGAAGACGGCCGTGTCGAAGAGCATCGGCACCGGCGCCGGCATCAGCTGCGCGCCCCCGGGGGGGGCGCCGAGAGGATTGGCCGGCGCGGGCGGCGGCGTGTCCACCGCCGGCGCCCAAGGGTTTAGCGGCGCGCCCGCTGCTGCCGCCAAAGCGTCGGTGCCAGAATGCAGCTCCCACTCGGTCGCCGCCGAGCCGGCCTGCCCTGCGTCGCCCTCGTCCTCCACCGCCGTCTCCGAAGGCGCCCCCGCGTCGCTCGCCTCCGACTCGCTGCCCCGGTCCGACTCCTCGCTGTCCTCCCCCTCGCTGTCCTCCTCCACCTCCACCTCGCTACCCTCCTCCTCGCTGCCGTCGCCTTCGCTGTCCGTCTCCTCGCTGTCCGCCTCCTCGCTGCCGTCGTCGGACCGGCCCGAGCAGTCCGGCGCAGGGCTGAGGGCAGGGCTGAGGGCCGGCGGCGGCGAGTGTGCCTCCACCTCCTCCTCGCCGGCCGACGCGTCTTGGTCGACGGTGTCTTCGCTGTCGGCGACGGTGCCGTCGCTGTCGGTCCCGCTGTTGTCCACGAGCGAGGGGATCGACTCGGTGTCGCTATCGCTGTGCTCGCTCGCCGCGCCGTCCACCGCGGGGAGAGGCGACAGCGAGGCGACCACGCCGAGAGCGGCGGTCGAGGCGGACTGAGCCGCCTGCAGCACCTCGCCGGCAGCGGTGCTTGGGCCGCCGCCGGGCACGGGCCCTTGGAAGGGGAGGGCCGGCATGGGAGGTGCGGGCGCGTTCCAGAGGCCGGGGACGGGGCTCTCCATCACGAAGGGGGTCGAGGCGGCGGGGGCAGAGGGGAGCGGCGGAGGCGGGTCGGCGGTCTGCGCCGGCTCGTGAGCTGGTGCGGCCGGCGCCTCCGGGTCGGCGGCGGCGGGCGGGTCAGCGCTTGCCCCTTCCGGCTCTACGCCTCCGAGCTCGAGGGTGTCGTCTGGCGCGGTATGAGGGGGGCGGGTGAGGTGAGCACGGTCAGGGGGGCGAGGCGAGGCGAGGGGGGGCAGAGGGGAGGCAGAGGGGAGGGGAGGAGAGGGGAGGGGAGGAAGGGGAGGGGAGAGGCGAGGGGAGGGGAGAGGGGAGGGGAGGGGAGGGGAGGCGAGGGAGCAGCGACGGGAGGTGCGAGGCTTCGGTGGGAAGGAGGAGGCGAGACGTGAGGCGGAGGGGGAGTCCGAGGCTGCAGCACCCCCACCTGCGGCATCGTGCAGCCCCTCGAGGCCCATGCTAGCCAGAGTCCACGAGAGGCTCAGCGGGTCTCCGCTAGGAGGCACACTCGGCGCGAGCGCCGGCCGCGCATCCACCTCCTCGCACCCCTCCCCCTCCCCCTCGCTCCCCGCGGCCGCCTCGCCCGCCGCGCCCGCCTCCGCCTCGCTAGGTTGGCAGTGGCGCCGCGCAAGCCGCCGCTGCTGCTGGCTCAGCTTGCGGTACGAGCTCCCTGCGCCGGAGCGCGAAGCGGCGCCCCGCGCGGCGCGTGGCGCGCCGCCGCGCCCGCCCGCCGCGCCGCCGCGCCCGCCAAACGCCACCGGCCACGCGCGGCCCGCCGCCGCCACCCGCTGCGCCGCCTCCAGCTCGCCCGCCTCCAGCTCGCTGGCGCGCGCGTACGCCTCCGCTGCAGCTGCGTGGCGGCGCAGGCCGGCGAGGGCGGCGCCGCGGCGGGCGTGCGCCTTGTGCCAGGTCGAGTCGAGCCGTACGGCTTCGTCCGCGTCGGCGAGCCCCGCGTGGGGCGCGCCCAGCTTGGTGAGCGTGATGGACCTGCAGGTCGCGGGAAGGCCACGGAAGCTTCCGACATGTGCATGTGCGTCCGTGCTACGGCCGCGGTGTGTCGGTGACTTGGGCGTGACAGCACCGCGTGGGCGCAGCAGTCCGCGCTGCAAGGCGCGGAGCAGCAAGGCGGCAGAGGCCCGAGAGGCGGGGGTGGGGGAGGGGGGGGGGGGGGGGTAGTGCAGGTGTCTTGGACCCCTCTCTCACCCATTCGAGAAGAGGAGCGCGTTCCCCCGGGTCCTGCAGTCCCGAGGCT